CCATAGTGTGGCGGTGGGGGCGGTCCTGAGAGGCAGGAGGGAGAAGCCCAAGCAGAGCATGGCCTTGAAGCCTGGCCTCGGCCGAGTGGCTCTCCAGGCTCTGGCCAGCTCGGCCTGTTCAGAGCTGGAGCCCTCCTGCGTGCCAGGCCCCTGCTGGCCCCAGGGACACAGCAAGGGCAGGACCTGTCACTCTGGCCCTCGTGAGGCCACGTGGAAGCCTGGAACCATTTGAGTAGGAGGGGCCCTGAGAAATCAGAGTCCCAGTGTATTTACATAGGTGGAAACCGAGGCTGGAAACAAGGCGTCGCACCTGTGCCCATGAGCTTAGGAAATCAACATTACATCCAGTAGACAGAGTCCCCACCCACCCTGCGCCCCGCCCCAGACAGGCCCCCTCTCCTCCCTGGAGGTGGGTTGGAAACACTCCTATCTGCCCCATGGCCATGCTGGGGAACCCCAGGTGTCCAGAGCCAGTGTGATTTGGGGCTTGGTTTCCCTGGCCTGGACTCAGTGTCACTGCCTAGCTGGAGCAGTTCTAGAGTTTTCCAGAGAGTTGTTGGGCCATCTTTGGTCATCAGCTCAGTGGACAGGTAGTAGCATCTCCTACTAACCACGGTGGCAGAGAGGGGTCCAGGGGTGTTCAAGACCCTTCCAGGGATGTGGCTCACAACCCAGCTTGACTTTGCCCCTGGACCAGCAGCTGTGGGGTGACGCACTGGGAGGAGACCTGTCCACGGCCGTGCAGCAGAGCTGGGCAGGGACCCAGGGCACCTGTGCCCCAGGCTTTCCCTGGTCCTCCCTCAGTTAGCCTCCTGCTTCACCCAGAGGGGTTCTGGGCCAGCTGTGCACCCTCCCGCAGGCATCCTGTCCGCTCCAGCCACCCCTGGGTGCCTCCGGAAAGAGGCCAGCCCCGCCCCTTCACTCAGCTCCCAGCTCGGCCCTGAATGCAGGCTGCCTCCTGCCCTCTGTGCCGCCCTGCACCCACTCCCCACTCTGTGCTCACTCACGCTCTTTCTGGCTTTCCCTCTCCCCCTCTGCTCTCCTCGGGGTGCCACCCAGCTGGGTCTGAGACTGGACACAAGGGAGGGAGCCAGGGCTGCCACTTCAGACACCATGGGAAGGGCTCCCAAGTCACAGCCGTGCTAACAGGAGTGTGCTTTGCTTTCCTGAGCTGTCACCTGCACCCCTGACCAAGTGGCCCGTGCTGGAGGTGGAGACAGCTGTTGGGGGCTGACTGGCTGGTGTGGGGATCCCAGGGTCTATGTTCCTCACCAGTCATCCCCATTTGGGCCGAGTCTGAGGCAAGAACTGATGCAGAAATAAGACCGGTCTCTGCTCTCAGAAAGTTCCTTACAAAGTGCAGTGACCCTGGAGCCAGTGCTCTGGCTGGTCTGCAGCTGGGAAGGGCAGGGTGGCCAGGCCCATGTGGAAGCAGGGCAGGAAGGGTACTACCTGTGGTGGCTGGGCCAGGCTGGCTTTCTCCTTCAGGAGGCAGGTGTGGCCCCTGTGGCCCCCTCCCTCAGCCAGTCTGAGTGGAGGAGGGGAAAGCAGGTCTCGGGTGTGGTTGCGGTTTCTTAACTCTGCTTCTGTCTTGCTCCCTGCCCTGGCTTTCCTCTCTGCCTGCTCCTGTCTCTCCCTGGGGTTTCTGGTGGTGGAAAAGCTCAAGCCTTTGCGAAGCTAATGACCTGCCTCTGTGCGAAGCTTACTGGAGGCTGGATCTCGACACAGACTCCGCTGATGGCCTCTCTGTCCCTCTGCTGGAGTCCCCGGAGCCCAGTGCTGGCCCCCTGCAGGCTACAGCTCCTGCCCACTCCCACGCCAGCGGCCCTGGCCCCACAGAGCACGCCTGAGCCTTGGGGCTGCCCTCCCCACCCCTGGCTTCTCAGAAACCAAACCAGGGCTCCCTCTGAGTGCCCACCATGGCCTCACTTCTTCCAGCCCCAATTCTCCCTGGGGGACTTCAAGGTCCCGGAGCCACTGTGGCCTCCTTGGGAACCTCAGCAGCCCAGGGTCATCCCAGCTAGGATGGTTGAGAACAGCTGTTTCTCTCGCCACTTCCAGGTGCCCATCCTTCTAGTTATCTCCTTCCACTGCCTTCCTGGCCAGCCAGGTGGAAGACAGTTTCCAGACAGGTGTCTGACATGGGGAAGACCTGACTTGAGCATGTTAGTTGAAATTGGGAGGGGCTCCAAGTGGACAGTGTTAGCCAAGCCCAGTCTCCCATCCTTCTGGCAGAGCTCCTGGGCAGAGTCCCACCCCCGCCTCTTGTCCTGAGCCACAGTCGTCCAAGCCACAGGCTGACTGCCCTGGTAGGGCTGAGTGAGGGGGCTGCACACTCTTGCAGAAGCCAGGTGGGGGCTCCTTCCTAAACTCTGCTGACAGTCATGTTCTGGCTATCTTTGTAATGAGACTTTTGAATAAAAAACCTTTTGCATTCATTCCTTTCTGACTTATTACTGATCAGTCCAGGACCACACATGATCTTGCAGTGGCTGAGAGCCGTAGGCCCTTAGCTATGCCAGGACAGCCTGGGCCTGGTCACTGTCTCCCCACTGGTACCTAGGAATGAATGAGAAGCTGTTGCCATCATCACCTGTTACAGAGGCCAGGTGCCTGTACCTCTGATGGCATCTAGTCCTCACCACCCAAGTCAGTGCTGTGAGTACCTGCATTTCAGAGAGCGGACAGGTGCTTGGAATGAGGTGCTACGCCCATAGCCACAGAGCTGGGAAGGGAAGTGGCAGAAACCGGGACTTGATCCCCAATGGAATTCTAGTCCCAGTGCCTCTTGGTGCCAACACAGAAGCCACAGCGCTGAGCAGGAAGGGGGTGTCACACGCCTGTAGAATTGGGACTTTAACCCTGCTCCTAACTGCCATCAACCTGTTTCATCTCCTTCCCATGAGGGAAACTATCATCCCAACGTATAGACGAGGTGACAGCCCAGGATCCAGCCTTGGAGACAGGGAAGAACATAAGCTGACTCATCACCAGGGGGCCCAGGGAGCCCCCAGCCAAGGAGAAGGTACCAGACAGGCCTGGGGCCCAGTCCTGGCTCTGGTCTCTGGGGTGGCCTGGGGAAGATGCTTTCCCTCCAAAGGAGAGTTTCTGCATTGATAAGATGAATGATGATCTCTTCTTTCTGTATTTTTTTTTTTTTTGACAACAGGGTCTTCCTCTGTCACCCAGGCTAGAGTGCAGTGGCATCAGCTTACTGCAGCCTCAAAATCCTGGGCTCAAGCGATCCTCCTGCTTCAGCCTCCTGAGTCTCTGGGACTACAGGTGCAGCCACCACCATGCCTGGCTAATTTTTGTATTTTTTGTAGAGATAAGGTCTCACTATGTTGCCCAGGCTGGTCTGGAACTCCTGGGCTCAAGCATGTATCATCACCTTTTCATCCCAAGCTTTTATTTCAAGAGCGTTCACCCAGCAAGTTTATAAAAGGAGCATAAAGAACACCCACACTCTGCTTGCTGTCTCCTACAGGACCATCTGAACCTCCATTGCAAACCTTGTGACACCTCACCCCTAAGTACTCACCAACTTTCCTTTGTAAGCAGCACTGGTTTCATGGCCTTGATACCATCATCAACCAAATTGGGCAATTACTCCGTATCAGCTAGTACCCAAACTGTCTTCAGATTCCCTCAGTTCCACCAAATGTCTTTTTACACATATTTTTGTTTTGCATTGCACTTAGTGGTTATTTTGTATAGTCTTTTAAAATCTAAAACAGGACCAGAGTGGTGGTGAGATGGGAGGTCAAGTCGGATTCTGGATCCTCTCTCGAATGTAGAGCCGGCAGGATTTGCCGAAGGCATGGATGTGGGAATCCAAAAGGAGTCAAGGTGGCTGAGAAGTTCTGGCCCAAGCACCCGGAGGAGGTATTGCTCTGAGATGAGGGAGACAGTGGAAGGAGGACACGGGTGGGGGGCAGCAGGTCCCACCTAGTAGGTGACAGTATTAAGATATCCGAATGGGAGGCTGCAGTTCAGGGGAGTTATCAGAGCAGTCAAGCTCATCCTCTGCATAAAACATCACCTCACAGCAGATTTAGGGGAAGAAAAGTTCTTGTTTAAGGTGTACCTTAACAGCAGCCCTTTCAAAGAGCCTCCTGAAGTTGTAATCTAAGACCCCAAGTCTCCTCCCTCCCAGGTGAGTACCACGAGGCCCCTCCCTCTTCCCATCGCGTGGTAGCCCTGCCTGGGCTTACAAAAAAGCTGATTTTTGGCCGGGCGGGGTGGCTCACGCTTGTAATCCTAGCACTCGGGGAGGCTGAGGCGGGAAGATCGCTCGAGTTCAGCAGTTCAAAACCAGCCTGAACAAGAGCGAGAGCCCGTCTCTACTAAAAGTAGAAATTATCTGGACAACTAAAAAAATATATATAGAGAAAAAAACTTAGCCGGGCATGGTGGCGCATGCCTGTGGTCCCAACTACTTGGGAGGCTGAGGCAGGAGGATCGCTTGAGCCCAGGGGTTTCAGCTAGGCTGACACCACGGCACTCTAGCCCGGACATCAACGCCCCAGTGGGTCTTCCCTGAACACGCGCCGCCTCCCTCCCAGGGACCTCCTCTGTCCCACCCCGGTGCCCTGCTCGGCCCGCTCCCGCGCCGACGGCGCCCAGGCCCGGCTGGGTTGTCGGTCCCGCCCAGACAAAGCCTTCACGAGCGCCCATCTGCGCTCGCCCCACAACCGCGCCCGCCGGAGACCGGGCCCCCGGCCCCACCGCCGCCCTGCCGCTGCCCCATCCGCTCAGCCCGACCCTCCGAGCGCCGACGGCGTACGGGCGCCGAGTCGGGGAAGCTCAAGGACCCGCGAGGCCGGGGTCGCGGGGGTCAGGACTTGGCCCTCCGTGGAGCCCCGACCCGGCCCACAACGCCCTACGTCCCGCCCGGCGCCTCTCCCGGTGGGGCCAGGCCTGGCTAATCGAGCCCGTGGGCTGGCGGCTCGGCGCTCGGCCGGCGGCGCCTGCGCACGCGGCGGTTTCCGGCGCTCCGGGCCGCGCGGGCGGTGCTGGGTGGTGCGGGCCGCGTGCGTCGTCGGGCGTTTTCGCTGCCGGGCCGCAGCCATGGCCTCGCTGCTCGCCAAGGACGCCTACCTGCAGAGCCTGGCCCGCAGGATCTGCTGCCAGCCGGGCCCCGAGCCGCCGGGGCGCAAGCGGGGTACGCGCGGGCCGGGGGGCGGTCTGTGCGCTGCTAGAGGGCAGGGAGGACGCGTGCGCGGCGGCCGCGCCCCTCCGGCTACGGCAGCCGCCGAAACGGCCCCGCAGGAGAGGCTCTCCGCCGCTGGGCGTCCCGAAGCGCCTCACCACCCGCGCCGGGCGGCGGGAAGTACCCTTGCGGCCTGGGGCGTGGGGAGCAGGAAGACGAGGGCCCCGCTGCTGGGGCCCGGGCGCCCGGGCTGCGCACGGGAAGTGCACCCGGCAGGGCAGCGGCCCGAGCGGGCCTGTCCGTGCTGCCTGGGCCCTGGGGGAGGGAGCGCCGCAGGATTTAGCACGGAACTGCCAGAGCCAAACAGGTTTTATACGGGAAACGTATGCTCGTTGTGGAAAATCCGGAAAGTTAAATGAGTTTTCTCATCACGCAGCCGTAACTTCTTTCTGTCTTTCTTTAACTTTTTTTATGTGTATATTTTGGTTAAGACAATTCGATTTCTGCTTCACATGCTCGTTTCTTCCGTTTAAAATGTAAACATCTTACCCACCCATTAAGATGAAAGTTTGTGTCGTTATTTTTGACAGCTGCGTGGTAGTTCGTTGTGTAGCAGTGCCACAGTTTGTTGCTGGAGGTGGATATTTAGGTTTTCCTAGTTTTTCACTCAACGTGAAGAACATCCTTGGTGCCAAATCTCTGTGCACGATGAATTCGAGCAGAACTGCTGGGTGGATGCTGTGATTTCTAGGTTTTGGTGTGTGTGGGCAGTCTGCTTGCCTGGATTGGAGTTCTGAGGTCTCTGGATAAGTGTCTCTGGCTCCTCCATCCTGATTCTTTCTGCATCCTTCTGGGATCAAAGCCTTTGCAAGACTGTCCTGCTTGTTGAATGGGGCGCACAGATTGGGATGGCAACTCTTTCTCATTTTGTATTCTAGCTGGCAAAACTCAAGGCTCAGAAGCTGCTGGGCCCCCAAAAAAGAAAAGGAAGAAAACACAAAAGAAAATCCGGGACCAGGAAAAGAAGGCTGCTGATCCCAAGGCTGAGTCCCTGCTGGAGAAGTCTCTAGGGGCTCCTGGGGCTAGAAGGCCAGAGGAAGCCAAAGAGAAGGAGACTTCCAGCTCCAGGGGGGCCCCTGCAGGTGAGAGGCTCCAGGGCATGCAGGGCAGGGCTGAGGTTGGGCTTGGATGCAAATGGGTCCCCTCTGCTGTTGAGAAAAGGCACTGTCAGGCACACAGGGATAGTACAAGAGCCTCGAAGAGCAGCAATTACAGTAGTGGTGTGGGTGGACCAGATTGGAGCTGCGTGGTGGTTCCAGGCCACATGGTGATCAGGATGGCAGGGGGCAAGGCCATGTCTCTGAGGACCTGAGTTGCAGGCTGCAGAAGTAGAAGAAATAAAAGATGTGCCTTCCACCATAAGAAGTATTTTCTCATACCACAGTGACCTACCTCATGAGACAGTTAGTTGCTTGCCCTGGGGAATGTTGTAGTGACCGATCCAGGTTGAAATGGTGGAGTAGAATTTACTGGAATTGCCCTGCAGATCCATGAGTGGCACAGAGAGCAGGGGCGGAACAGGGAGAGCACTGAATAGAGACTCTGGTTTAGATCCTGGGCCCTGGGGATGGTGGGGAAAGGTCAGAGAGTGGTCCCTTCAGTCCTGTGTCTGTCCCTGCAGATGGCCTGGCCACGGCGCCTGGTTCTGTCTTTGCCCTGGATGTTCTGCGACAGCGACTGCACGAGAAGATCCAGGAGGCCCGGGGCCAGGTAGGTGGGAGACCACGCAGCACTGGGCGTGTTTGCTGCCGTGTTTCCCGCTCGGGTCTGCTCTCAGTCAGGAGCCGCAGCCTCTGTTCTCATTTCTGCAGCAAGTCCTGCCAGGGCCTCGGCTGCTCTTTTGTCTTTTGGGAGGTGTAGTCCTCACCTTGTTGGAGAACCTCAGTCCCCAAGGTCCCAGCTTTCTGGCCAGTCCAGGGCTGCTTGGACTCCTCGCTGTGCCTTGGAGAGCAGCTCAGCCTCTCTCCTTCTGGGAAGCTGCCTTAGCTGCACACCAGGCTGGGCACTTGCTGTGCTTCTGTTTCTCTAAATGTCACGGTAGTCCTGAGTTGGGCAAGGGTGCTGAGATGCAGTGACCAGCACAGGAAGCGCCCGTGCTGAGGATTGAGCCAGCCTCAGCTTTGTGTTGAATGGTGGGGTCTCCCCTCCGAGTTGGCCCCTACCTGCCCGTGCCCCTGGCCCCTTCTCGCAGAATGCTTACTTTGTGGGGGACAGTCCCAGCTTCTCACCCTCCCAGAGAAGCCCACCAGCCATCCCTGGGATGCGATGGTTGGTTCCTCAGCTGAGCAAGGCCCTCATCCCTGCAACACAGGTCTGCCTCCATCTGCTCTGGTGCTTTCTTGATGGCACAGGGACAGGAAAGACAGTTGGGGACAGCGGAGCTTGGGTACATGGTGAGCAGAAAGGACATAGGTCAGGACAGACATGCAGGCCTGACTTCAGGTTCTGGGTGGTGGCCTTGGCCCTGCCTATCTATAAAGTGGTAGGTGACATGTGTGAAACTACCTCTGTGAAGTGTCCCAGCACGTGGTAATTGCCTGGGAACTGGAAGCCTTGACTCTTATTGGGGTCCCTTGTCCCTCTTGGGTCAGGTGCATTTTGGCTAATGGATTTCACCATGTGTCACTTAAGTCCGCGGGTCCCTTGCCCTGCAGGAGGAGCTCGTCGCATACCCTCCCACCCTGATTCTCCTCAGCCGTGTGCCAGACCGGGGGACCCGGCGGTTGGGGAATTTTAATGTGCGAACACCCACCTTTCCCTCCAGGGCAGTACCAAGGAGCTGTCCCCCGCTGCTTTGGAGAAAAGACGGCGGAGAAAGCAGGAGCGGGACCGGAAGAAAAGGAAGCGAAAGGAGCTGCGGGCAAAGGAGAAGGCAGCCAAGGCCGAGGAGGCTGCTGAGCCCGTCCCTGTCCCGGAGGTGGCCTGCAAGGAGCCCCCAGAACCCCCAGAGTTGATCTTCAACAAGGTGAGCGGGGCTCCGCGGCCTTGGGCCCCAGCTTTGGCCCTGCCTGCTGTTGGCTTGCATGAGTGACTTCCCTCTGGACCCTGGCATTTGTAAGGTGACGGTAATGGAGCTGGTCCTGGGGGTGGGTGCTTGGAGGGCTGAGGGCGTGACCTGCACGAGGCTGCTGGCATTAACTGACGCTGCGGCACCTCCCAGGTGGAGGTGGGCGAGGATGAGCCGGCCAGCAGGGCGCAGCGCAGGAAGGAGAAGAGGCAGAAGGTGAAGGGGAACCTCACGCCGCTGACGGGCAGGAACTACCGGCAGCTGCTGGAGCGTCTGGAGGCGCGGCAGAGCCGGCTGGACGAGCTGCGGGACCAGGACGAGGGGAAGGCGCAGGAGGTGGAGGCCAAGATGCGGTGGACCAACCTGCTGTACAAGGCGGAGGGTGTGCGGATCCGCGACGACCCCCGCCTGCTGCAGGAGGCCCTGAAGCGCAAGGAGAAGCGCAGGGCGCAGCGGCAGCGCCGGTGGGAGAAGCGCTCCGCGCACGTGGTGGACAAGATGCAGCAGCGCCAGGACCGGCGGCGACAGAACCTGCGCAAGAAGAAGGCGGCCCGGGCGGAGCGCCGCCTGCTCAAGGCGCGCAAGAAGGGCCGGATCCTGCCGCAGGACCTGGAGCGCGCCGGCCTGGCTTGAGCGCCTTCCCGCGGGACGCCTCTCCCTCCCGCGAGGCTGCCGTTGTGTGACGCCATCGGATAGCCCTGGCCCGCGGGCTCCACACCAGGTGTGCCCAGTCGAGCTCGTCGCTGAGCTGTTGGGCACCCAGATCAGGCAGGCCGAAGGGAAAGGTTCCCATCAATCACTGGAGATAGGGCCTAGGCCCGGGCTCACAGGCTGCGGCAGCCGGCGGGGAAGAAAGAACTGTGGAGAGGGTTTGGGGTGAGGCGCCTCATTGGCCCCTTCCTGCCGGGGCTCGCAGGCTGCGGGACAGGAGAATGGCCTTTGCTGCCTGTCTTAGTCCAAAGCACCTAGAAGGGGAGCAACCCGGTGAGCTCATAGCTCAGGAGAAGCTGGTTGCACACTGGGCTGGGACACCAAGGCCTTCTGCCTCCTTGGTTGCCCCGGGGCAGCATCCTCACTCAGAATTCACACAACATAAATATGTACGTTCTAAGATAACCACCAAAGATAGAAACAGTGTCTACTAAACTAGGAGGAGGAAAAACAATGCAGTGGGGTGAGCAGATCTCAATCTAAATGAGAGAAGAGAGAAAAAAATAAAACCTAAAAGCTGACTCGAATGGAAATATAAAGTGGGGTCATAGAATTAAATCCAAATCTGTAGGCAATCAAAATGAATACAGATTGACCAAACTCAGTAAATTTTACTGGTATGTGAAAATAATAAAGCTTGTAAATAAAATGATTTTGACTAAACTCTCCAGTTAAGAGACAAAAGATTGTAACCAGAAGGAAGCTGGTGTGGCTGGTGCTACTTGATCTAGAAAGTACCACTGAAGGCCAGGTGTGGTCACACCTGTAACCCCAGCACTCTGGGAGGCCGAGGCAGGAGGATTGCTTGAGGCCAGGAGTTTGCCAACCAGCCTGAGCAAGAATGAGGCCCTGTCTCTACACAAAAGATACTAAAAGAAAAATGAGCCAGGCGTGGTGGTGGCACCTGGAGTCCCAAGCTTTTCAGGAGGCTGAGGCAGGAGGATCACTTGAGCCTAGAAGTTTGAGGTTGCTGTGAGCTATGATAATGCTACAGCACCCCAGCCTGGGTGACAGAGGGAGACCCCATCTCTTAGAAAAAAGACAAACTCAAAGGTAAATGGAAGAAAATAATGCTAAGTACAGAAGTTATGAAATATGAAACTGCAGTAAAGAAAAAATTTGATTCTCTGAAAAGTAGCAAAGTTGGCAGAGCTCTGGCAAGATGCAGAAAAAGGCGTGAACATATGTAATATCTATGACAGATTTAAAAGAATAACATTTTAAAACAAATGAAATGGAAAACTTAGAAAAATATAAATCACCAAAACTGTAGAAGAAATGGATAGCCTGAGCTTCAGCAACTGATGAATTTTAATAAATGGTTAAGAATGTTCCCACAAAAAGAGGCCCAGTTTTTGTTGTTGTTGTTTTGAGACGGTCACACTCGAGCTAGAGTGCAGTGAGGTCATCGTAGCTCACAGCAGCCTCACACTCCTGGGCTCAAGCGATCCTCCTGCCTCAGCCTCAGGAGGTGAGCTCATCTTCGTGGCCAACCCAGGGGGCAGTAAGAGGGTCTGGAGCAGGCCGGCACAACCAAGAGGCAGCAGCACGGGAGTAGTGTCCTGCTGAGCAGAGACAGGGTGCTGGGAGGGTAAGTGGGGGGTCTGGGGCAGGTAAGACAGCGGCAGTGCCCACAGTGCCAGCTGGAATCGGTGTCCAGGGCACCTGTGCTGGCTGGAGAGGGCAGGGAGCCGCAGGGGGAGGGTGAGGCCCGCCGCCGGCCAGGTGGAAGGGTGAGTGCCGGTGTTGAGCAACACATTTCGCGCACACTGTGGGCCGGCTGCTGTGCTGGGTGGAAGTTTCAGCAGTGAACAATGCCCAGCTCTTGCTTTCGAGAAACCCATGCACGGCCTCATAAACAGGTCTGTCCTGCGGAGTGACCAGGGGAATGAAGTTGTAAAAGCGGTTGCTTCTGACATGGAGTCACTTAGGTCAAACTGTAACAGAACAGGGTCAGAGAGGCCACGAAGAAGCAGCCCTCGGGCACACATACCTGCAGTAACAGGACTTGTCACAAGACCTTCAGGGCTGCAGTGTTCCAGGTACGCTGCTCCCACAGGGACACCGCCTAGGCTGTCTCGGCCATTGATGCCAACTCCTGGAGCAAACCCGTGCAACCCTCGCCTTCTAAGTTTTGATTTCTAAACGGCTCACGTGGACTCCTCATCTTTAAAAGGAGAGGGCCCCTAGTGTGCCTGTGGCCCTGGCTTGCTATTCTCTGCTATTCCCAAATGAACTCATTTATTCTGGAGAGCCGGTCTCTGTCTCTTCTTAGGCTGGGGCAGGATTCGGCACAGTGGGCAAAGGCTGAGCCAGGCAACTCCCGGGCAGAAGACCAGAGACGAGAGCGTGTCGGGCATTTGTAACGTCCTGAAAGTGTAGTCTGCTTTTGTGACATCGGACAAATTCCGATACGTGTTTTCATTTTTATTTACTTCAAAATACTGCCTAGTTGTCCTTTGGTGTCTTCTTTGACTCATGAATTATTTAGCGGTATATTCAGCTTCCAGATAGTTGGGAATTTTCCAGAGATCTTTCTGTTATTGATTTCTAGTTGAATTCTGTCGTGCTGAGAGAACATAGTTTATATGACTCAGATCCTTTCGAAGTTACTGAGGATTATTTCACGGCTCAGGCTGTGGCCCGTGTCGGCAGTGGTTCCCTGTGCACTTGAGAAGGATGCATGTTCTGCTCTTGTTGGGTGGAGTGTTTCATTAATGTCTGTCAGGTCCAGCATCGTTGACATCTATGTCCTTGCCAGTTTTCTCTCTATTAGTTCTATCAATTATTGCACTTCATCAAAAGTTACAAATTAAGAAAGCAAATTAAGAAAAATTAATAAAAGCAAGGCCCATTTTGAAAGAAAATATTTATAAAACCTGTATAGTAAAATAAAGGACTCAGCTGAGTGTGGTGGCGCACGCCTGTAATCCCAGCACTGTGGGAGGCCAAGGCGGGAGGATCACTCAAGGTCAGAAGTTCGAAACCAGCCTGAGCAAGAGCGAGACCCCCATCTCTACTAAAAATAGGAAGAAAGTAATTGGCCAACTAAAAATATATAGATAAAAATAGTCGGGCATGGTGGTGCATGCCTGTAATCCCAGCTACTCGGGAGGTGAGGCAACAGGAGCCCAGGAGTTTGAGGTTGCTGTGAGCTAGGCTGACGCCATGGCACTGTAACTGGGGTAACAAGAGTAAGACTCTTGTCTCAAAAAATAATAATAATAATTAAAAAATAAAGGACTTGCATTCGGAATAAAAAATAATCCGATTTTTTAACAGGCAAAAGATTCGAATAGGCCAGGCACAATGGCTCACACCTGTAACCCCACCACTTTGGAACCACCTCCCAGAGGGGCGTGCTGAGGGTGGCCCTGCCGCTCTCTCACTGGGCTGGGGGGAGGCTGGGAGTCCAGACAGTGTGGCTAGGGTGGGGGCAAGGCTGCAATGACTGCTCACGGGGGCAGGGGGCCGGCTCCAAGGCCTGGTGGCCGATGGGCTGTCGGAGAAAGGAGGGCGGGACAGACGGCAGCTACACCTTCTCAGGCCGGCAGCCATCAGCACTGGCCAGCCTGAGAGGGCTCTGGGACAAGTGCCATCTCCGGCCACACGATGTGGTGTGCACCACGGGCTGCGACTGGCCAGAGTCAGGTGGGCAGGGGTGACTTGACCTGGCATGGTGTCCAGCAGCCCAGCTGTGCATGGGGAAGAGGCTCCCTTCCCCCCAAGAAAGACCTAGGCCCAACCACGGCCAGCTGCAGGACCCCAAACTCACATTTGTTCTCGGCCATTAGCATTTTGAGCACCGTCTCCACCATGGCCCAGGCAACACCAGTTCTCGGCAGTCTCACCTCTGCTTTGCCTTCATTTTTATTTTATTTTATTTTTATTTTTATTTTTTTTTGAGACAGAGTCTCACTTTGTTGCCCAGGCTAGAGTGAGTGCCGTGGCGTCAGCCTGGCTCACAGCAACCTCAATCTCCTGGGCTCAGCGATCCTCCTGCCTCAGCCTCCCGAGTAGCTGGGACTACAGGCATGCGCCACCATGCCCAGCTAATTTTTTTTTTGTATATATATTTTTAGTTGGTCAATTAATTTCTTTCTATTTTTGGTAGAGACGGGGTCTCGCTCAGGCTGGTTTCGAACTCCTGACCTTGAGCGATCCGCCCGCCTCGGCCTCCCAAAGTGCTAGGATTACAGGCGTGAGCCACCGCGCCCGGCCCCATTTTTGAAATATATTTTACTTGGGTGTTTAATTCTGGAGTGAAAGTCTTTTCTACAATACTTTAAGCTGTGTTCCGCTGTCCTCTCGCTTGCATTGCTTCCAGGGACAAATCTGCTGTCATCCTTGTTCCTTTGCACATAATGTGTCTTTTTAATTTCTGAGTTTCATACGGGAAGTTTCCACTGCTGTGACTTCTGGTTCACTAATTTTTTCTTCTGCAGCGTCTAATCTGCTGTTAATTTCATCCAGTGTATTTTCATCTCTAGAAGTTCCATTTGAATCTTTCAAAATATCTTTTTATTTATTTTTATTTATATATATATATATATATTTTTTGAGACAGAGTCTCTCTTTGTTGCCCAGGCTAGAGCGAGTGCCGTGGCGTCAGCCTAGCTCACGGCAACCTCAGGCTCCTGGGCTCAAGCGATCCTCCTGCCTCAGCCTCCCAAGTAGCTGAGACCACAGGCACGTACCACCATGCCCAGCTAATCTTTTCTATGTATTCTTAGTTGTCCAGCTAATTTCTATTTTTTGGTAGAGACGGGGTCTCGCTCTTGCTCAGGCTGGTCTTGAACCCCTGACCTTGAGCAATCCTCCCGCCTTGGCCTCCCAGAGTGCTAGGAGCCCCCACACCCAGCCCTGTATTTCTTTTATTTAAAAAAATCAAACAAATAAGTGAGTGGAACTTCAGAAATGACAGCTGCACAAGAGCTTTCGCCAGCCAAGCTGGAAAACGAAGGTGACAGGCGTGCCAAAGCCAGCTTTCAGGCTCCCTCTAGCTTGTCATAAGGGTCACGCTTTGGCTTCACTTCCTCCTTGAAGCCTTCAGGACAGGTCGGCCTTGCCCTGCCCTGGACACACACTTCCTCCCACCCTCTTGGGAGCCCACTGGCTGCAGGGGACCTCCCAGCTGCCGTGTTGGCAGGGAGGGAGGAGAGGACTGTCCTGGCTTCCCAGAGGGTGCGAAGAGCCCTGGCCCGCGCAGAGGAGTGGGGAAGCAGCGTGGGGGTTGTGGAGGGTGCCCACCCCTCGGACCCTGCGGCAGGTCTGGGGCGGGTGGCAGAGGCAGGGCAGCGCGATCATCAGTGTAAGGGAAGCCGGACAAGTCAGGGACTGGATGGTGTAGGATCAGGACGAGGCTGGGTGAAGGGTCACGTCAGGACAGGTGGCCAGAGGGACTTTGCCATCCCCTTCCCCAGCGTGTGGTGGTGGGTGCAGGCTCACCCGTCCCAGCTGGGCTACAAGGCAAGGGCACGCCCTTGGGGTACTGCGTGGGAAGGACCCTCTCTCCTGCCCTGGTGGCCGGGGCATGGAGTGCTGGAGATCTAGAGAGGAGAAGAGATTGCCCGGACTGCAAGGTGACAGGGTGGGTCATTGGCCTGGGCTTCCAGCTCCTCCCTGTCCTGGCCTGGTCCCCTCACGCCCCGCCCTGCTCCGGCCAGGCAGGAGCCTGTGCAGGAAGCGTGAAGCCGAGGAGAGAGTAGACAGTGGCTGCCCTCTGCCTCCTGGCCCGCTGAGCTACACCGTGCTTCATTTCCAGACAGGACCCAAAGTGTACCTGCACTCCAGGTGAGCCTCTGGGCACTGCCTACCCTGAAGACACAGGCGACAGCCTCTGAAGCAGCCTCCACTGAGCCCTGTACTTAGCCCATCTTTACTGCCCTGTGGAGACTTCTCGGGCCCAGGTCGTGGTAAGACCTGGAGCAGGTGCCTCCAGGCTGCGAGGCAGGTGTTAGGCAGTGAGTCAGGTGAGTGACAGGTGAGGAGGGTGGGGGGTGGAGAAGGAAGAGCCCAAGCTGGAGAGGTCCGGAGTGTCCCCCAGGGCTTTGGGGGCCATGGCAAGGGCAGGATAGGATCCTGAGGGCAGGGGAAGCCACCTATGGGGCCCGGTCCCTGTGCTGACTGAGAAAGTGTCTGACCCTGGCCTCGGAACCGGCTGAAAAATCTGATTCCTGTCAGTGGGACAGCCCGGCGGCTGCCCTCCCAAATCAGGGCAACTCAGAAACCTGCCAAGTTCTTCCCTGCCCAGAAGGGAGGCGTGGGCTTTGTCCTTCACATGGATCTGCCTCTGAGCCTGCTCAGCTTCTGCCAGGCCGACCTCCGCCACCTGCCAGCCCAGGCACCTGGACATGGAGCCCAGAGGTGAGCTGGAGGGTGGGAGCCCCGGGAACGGGGCTGTGGGTTCCCTCCGTGGTCTGAGGGTGGGATCAGGAGCTTCACAGCTGCACTGCAGCAGAGGCTCAGGGCAGCCTGGCCGGGACAGTGGGGCAGGGGTGCAGCGGGTTTGGAGCCGCTCCCGCGCGGTGGGGCTGGGCAGGGCGGCCGACCGCATGGGGAAGTAAGGGAAGACGTGGCCGTGGCGCTGTCAGAGTAGAAGGCAGACCCTGGGCGGAGGTGTCCTGATTTGGCAGGCAAAGCTGCGACAGGTGGGCCTCCTGCCCAGGTCTCCTGCAGGCGGAAGTGCGTCTGGCACCAGGGCAGAGTGGGTGGCCGTGGTCAGCCTCCTCCCGTGGGTGGTGAGGAGCCGGGCACAGCTGGTGCTCCTGGGCACTGCTAGCCAGGGGTGGGAGGCAGTGTGTGCCCGGCCGCAGCTGGGGTTCAACCCCACGCGTGTCTCCAAGTCCTAGGTCAGAGGAGAAAGGCAGGAGCTCCAGGGACTGGGCTTGCGAGGAAAGTGGGAAGGGCCCTGGGGAGGAGCTGCGAGGGTCCAAGGAGGAACAAACAGCGGTCCTCTCTGCACCCCGTCCGGGGCTGGGGACGGACCGGCTCCCGCGCCGGGCCTACAGCGCCTTCACGGAGGGAGGGGCTGGAGAGGGAAGAGGCTTCTGTGGTCACTCAGGAGTCCCAGCCCAGCCCCCAGCCCGGGTGGGAGCCACGCCTCCACCCTCTAATGCTGCCGTCCCCAACCCCTGGGCCTGGACCGGGCGCAGAGCTCTGCTGCCCTCCCCGTTCCACGCCACCATCCGTGGAAAAAATGTCTTCAGTGAAACTTAGGAACGGAATGGGAGGCACACAGCAGGGGGCGAGCGGCGGGTGAGCGAGGGAAGCTGAAGCTTCGTCTGTATTTCCAGCCGTTCCCCATCGCTCCCGTCACTGCCTGAGTTCGCCTCCCCACCCCCGTCCGTGGAAAAATTGTCTTCCGTGAAACCGACCCCTGGCGCCGAAAAGGTTAGGGACCACTGTGCTGGCGGCTACCTCGGGGAGCACTGGGCACCCAAAGGAGCCCATCTTCCTGGAAGAGAAAACCAGAGGTGACCACGTCTCTTTTCGGTCACAGCTTTAATGTGTTTAGTCATCAAAATTCTCTTGAGCTTTTACTTGAAGGGAGCTAGACTGGTCTGGCCTGGCTGGGTGTCTGCTGTTCGTGCCGGGCCTGGCCACCCTCTGGCACTGCACGGCCGACACCCTCCCCCCCTCCAGAAGTCAGAGCAGCAGGGTCCAGGGCACCCCGGGGAGGGTCGGCACCTCTTCCTGGTCCCCTGCAAGACGGCAGCCACAGCCCTGAGAACCCGGCCCATGTGGTGAGATTGTCAAGCTAAAGAAAGAAACTCGAAGACACAGGCCGTCTGGAACAGAAGATTGTCACTGGGAAGAGCAGAGGGCTGCAGCCCCGGGCAGTGCAGCGGGCTGTGGAATCACAGGGCACCCAGGAAAGCCAGAACCAGGGGGAGTTTTCAAAGGCAAGGAGTCCAGCAAACCGCCTGGACGCACCTCCCAGCCTCAGGAGCTCCTGGGGGACAGCCCTTGCGAGGTTCTGTCCCAGGCTGGGTGTCTTTACCTGGAACCCTGCAGGCCGGAGCGTGGACAGACGCTCTGTTCCAACCAACCACGCTCCATTCCAACCAACGGTCTGCAGGGTGGAGAGAAGCAGGCAGGTGAGAGGTGAGTTCCAGAGAACAAGTGAGGGTTCAGGCTTTATAGCAAAAGTCCCACCTACGTTTCCAATCAGGTTCATTTATGCAAATAAGTATTGACACTTGCTTAGTTCTGATTGGTCGGTGCAGCTGAGCCCTGATTGGTTGACACAGTAAACTCTGGCTGGTGGGGTTGAGGTGGCAGACGCCTAAAGATGAAAAGGTGTTTGAGGGACTCAGAGCAGCAGGTGCCACCCTTAGTCAGCAAGTGGACTCTCGGCTCTAACTTAAATTTAGGCCCAACTGGGGACCTAAATTTAAATGGATGGCCCACCGAGGCCATCTTGAAAGACTGGCTGTTTCAGGTTCACCTATGTTCATTTGTTCTCAAGAGGAAATTCCTGTGCTAAGCTGTGTGCTGCTGGCCAGGAGTGGAGGAGCCGCGCAGGTATCTCAGGAATGCAAGCGTGAGCCTCCCAGCCTCCTTTTGGTTAGCGTTTTGACTCAGGTGACTCCATTTGTATTGTTAACTGCCACAGGGTCCACCACGGGCTTGTGTCGGTTCTGATGCCAAGTGTCCCAAGGAGACAAGGTTGGAAGCCACAGACCTGGCCATCCACACCCCTGGGGGACCCCACCGGCAGGAGCAACAAGCCTGGTCTGACAGGGACCTGGTAGGTGAAAAATTCAGCTGTCCTGGGTTGGGCACTGAAGGTCTCATGTCCTGGGGACCCTGTCAGTCCGGTGCAAACCCTAATGGAGGCCGTTCTGGGCCAGGGTTTGGGACCCAACATTGCCAGGCATTTTGCATGACCCTCCTGCCAGCGCTTGTTAGGGACCGGCTTCTTGCACCCTGCCAGGCAGACGAACAAAGACACTAAGGATGCAATCACTCAAGAGGAGCTTTATTTTCTGGCTAGCCAGGGTCCAGGCCCTAGAGTGCCAGCGCAGTGGCCGCTCTTACAGGCAAGGACCCTGACCAAAGCTGGGGCTCCTCTTTTATCCCCCCTCCCTCTTGAACACCGGCGCTGCACAAGCTGATTGTGCGTGTTAGTCTTTAAAATGATTGGTGGACTGGTAGCCCGCCGGCGGCAAAGGGGCCTTTCTCCCTTATCTGGCACCGTACCTATGCGTCCAGCTGCAAGCAAGCGATTCTCAGAAGCAGAAATATGCGTTTAGCCGATAGCTCTACCTTTGGGCCCCAAGCTAGCAGTTTCCAGGAGCCGATTACTCCTCCCCTGGGCCCATTTTCTGTTATCCGGGCTCGCACAAGTGAGCCAGCAGCTTTGGGGTGCAATCAGGCCCTTACATTCCCCCCTTTCTTTAGACCATTGACGAGCACTCTTGCTCGTCCCTTGTGTTTAGCTTTTGGTATTGTTGTTGCAACACTAGAAGCTGTACAGTGCTAATCCGCTCTTTTATAAATGCCACTAGTCTATTAACTAGACAAGGCCCAAACGTGAGGGCTAAGAGTATTATAATGAGTGGGCCCAGTAGGGTGGATATCAGTGTAGTTAACCACGGGGAGCTGTTAAACCAGGACTCAAACCAGCCTGCTTGCTGTTCGTGTTCTCGTTTGCGGCGGGCAAGTCCTTCCCTGACCTTAGCCATGGATTCTCTAACAACTCCCGTATGATCCGCATAGAAACAACATTTTTTTTAAAGAGCAGCACATAGTCCTCTTTGCTGGAGGAACACTAGATCTAGCCCCCTCTGGTTTTGGAGCACTACCTCGGATAGGGAGGTTAGTGACATTTTTAGGTGTGAGATGGACTTTTTTATTTTTGCTATATTTTTATTTATGGCTGCTCTTAGGCTATGAAACCCCTTTTGCTGCATTGCCAGGGAAGAGATACCAGTTTTTGCTCTGATTGCTCTTAAGCCAAAAAGAGTAGCCAAGGTTATGGCTGTGATGGGCTTTTTTTTTTTTTTTTTAATTAGGTTAGCAGCTTTTTGCCTTATTATACCCTCATACATTGTCTCTTTAGTGTGGTATATTATTTTTGGGAACACTAATATTATTATATAGTAATTTTTAGACTCATTGAAAATAGACATACTAAGGCAAGGAGTCAGACCGGTCTTGGAGCAAACTTACTACTCACCTGGCCCGGGGATAACCCACTTTGTTTTCTTAGATAGGCTTAGCGTCTTGTTACTCTTGGCACAGAGTTGTGCATGGCTGGGAGGCACTGTTCTTAAACAGGTACCTTTGCCAAGAACTGACTGGAGGGTGAGTCTGGGGCCCTTACGATCTCACTGGCACGTTTTAGGGGAGTCTTCTGAAGACAGGTTAAAATAAGTGGCCAGCCCCACCGCCTTATAAAAAGGGGGCCTTATGTCATAGCACAACTAACAGGCCTGTGTGGCATTGGGACTTGTACGGTTCAGTGCATTATATGCTGCTGTCAGCATTTTTCATAAGGGATCTGTGAGCTCTCTATCGGGCGATGGGCCTCGGGGACTACTTGTGCTAGCCACTAGTTTGTGGAGAGTCCCTTTGCTGGAGGTGGTCTGGGGTGCTGCCGGGCCGGGCCTGGCAGTAGCTGGCCATGGATGTAGTACTTGGTTGGGTCCTACTGCTGTTGGGAGCGGGGTAATTTTAAGTTTGATATATATTAGTGAGCAAACGTGCGGTCTTTGGTAGAGACATATCTCTCATGAGAGTCCTGTTATCTACCGCCTATTTTTTTTTTTTTTTTGTAAATTTTATTTTTATTAGGTTGCAGTCTCTGGCATACCTGTTTTTAGTACAAGGTTGGACATAGGACATGCTAATGAGAAGAGATCGTGCCTGCCATTTTTATTTTCCATTATTGGTGGTCACACACTATTATTTGGCACAATAATAACTTTTAATACCTCTACACTGACGGTTTTTTTGAGGGGGCCGGAATCCCGGACAGGCATAAAACCTATTCCGGCTCATAGAGGTTTGTTCTATGTCTTCTCTCTATGGTCCAGTTACTCAAGTACTGGGGATTGGGGCAGCAGCAGGGCCTCCTGAGGATATTGCTATTGTCTGTGCTGGCTTTTCTAGGGGGTTGACTTTTTTTAAGTTAAAATATAAGTCCGGCCACTAACTGTTTAAGGGGGCCACCCCAGAGGTCACGTTTTAGACTTTATGGGTTTCTTGATTGACAATTTCTCATGTCAGACTATGGGGTTTGTGGGGATTGAAATTGTCTATCACACTTACAACACTCTCACTCATTAACAAAATGCTCTCAAGGAGATATAAAACAAACCCTGCATACATTTTTGTAGTGAGGTCTAATCTCCAGGTGCCACAGCCCCAAGTCTGAGTCTAGACAGTATAACCAGTAGTCTAAGAGGAATAGGACTCAGCTGGCTTCTTGTGGCGCTGCTGCTACTCGAGTCAGCCTGACCTTCAGTGGGTTCTCTGGGTCCACCGTCGCTCTCCACTGGCTCCGGCACCGTTCTAGGTCGTTCTTGTTGGCTGGTCTTACGTGGGAGTGGTGTATCCAAGTTGATATGCCGTCTACCTTGAGAGCAGTGGGGGTAATGAGAATAATTTGATGAGGTCCCTTCCACCTGGGCTCCAGGGTTTTACTATTATGTCTCTTTACCCACACTCAGTCACCCGGTTGGTGCAGGTGATAAGGGAGGTCAGCATCTGGTCTTGCCGCATCGTATACGGCCTGAAGTGCTGGCCATATCCGACTGTGGACATGCTGTAAGGCCTGTACAGCTTGTAATATTTCTTTAGGGTGTTTTGGAAGTGCCCCACTGCATTTTGGCCTAGGCACCACTGGTGGGGGAGTACCATACATAATTTCAAATGGAGTTAGTCCCAGATGGTAGGGGGTGTTCCGGACTCGGAACAGGGCGAAGGGAAGGAGGGTCACCCAGTCTCCGCCAGTTTTTAGTGCCAATTTAGTCAAAGTCTTCTTTAGTGTTCTGTTCATTCTTTCTACCTGTCCTGAGCTCTGGGGGTTATATGCACAATGTAACTTTTAATTGATCCCCAGGGTTTGGGCTAATTTTTGATTTATCTGACTTATAAATGTAGGTCTATTATCGGAGCCCATTCTTTCTGGCACCCCGTATCTAGGGATAATTTTTTTAAATAACTTTTTGGCTACAGTTAGGGCAGCTTTATTTTTAGTAGGGAAAGCCTCGACCTACCCAGAAAATGTATCTATTAAATACGGATACCGGTATCCGTATTTCCCAGGTTTTACTTCTGTGAAATCTACTTCTCAGAACAGTCCTGGCTGCCTCCCCCTTTCCCTCGTACCTGTGTGAGTCCCCTTGGTTTTTCCCGGTTGCATAACCTGACAAGCTTGGCAGTCATGGACGATATCGGCGGCCACCTGTCTCTGTGACTTGAACCTCAACTGAGCAGTATCCAGCAGCTGGAGCATTTTGTTTTTTTTTAAATGGGTGGTCTGGTGTAGATGCTGTAACACATACCGTCCCAAAGCTTCTGGCATTATCATGCGATGCTCTTTGTCCCATATCCATCCGTCCTCGCCTTGGTGTGTATTTTTCTGTTCTTCGGCCCAGGCTTTGTCTGTCTCTGTATAGGTGGGCACTGGGGGTATCTGTACCATTCCCGGAGGCGGCAGGCCGGGGCCCGTGTGTAGGACGCTTAGTGGCATGCCCTCGTACGCAGCCTTTTTGGCTTCTGTGTCTGCCTGCCTGTTTCCTTTTGCTTCTAGGGAGTCCCCACTTTGGTGTCCCGGGGTGTGGACTACCGCCACTGCCTTTGGCAGTAGGATGGCTTCTAGCAGGTGGAGAATCTCGGGCTTGTGCTTGATCTCTTTTCCCTCTGCCGTGATGAACCCCCTTTCTCTGTAGAGGGTCCCGTTTATATGCACCGTCCCAAATGCATAGCGACTGTCGGTGTATACAGTCAGCCTCTTTCCCTGAGCCCGGCGGAGTGCTTCTGTCAGCGCTATCAGCTCTGCCTTCTGAGCAGACGTTTCTTGTGGAAGGCAGGCCGCCCAGATAAGCTTGCCCTGGTTATCGACTATGGCCGCCCCTGCATACCTGTGTCCCTCTCGGACGAAACTGCTCCCGTCCGTGAACCAGATGAGGTCGCTGTTCGGAAGGGGGCGGTCCTTCAAGTCTCTCCGGGCCATCTGGGTTTCAGCCAGGATTTCGAGACAGTCGTGCTCGGGTGCTGCTGATTCTGGAACAGGCAGGAGCGTTGCCGGATTCAGGGTGGCGGGGGCCTGGAACTCGATGCGAGGTGCATCCAGCAACAGTCCTTGGTAGTGAGTGAGCCTTGCATTTGTGATCCATCGCCCCGGAGGCTGCTTTAAAACCCCTTCTATGGCATGCGGAGTAGTGACTATCAGTCTCTGTCCCAGGGTAAGTTTATCAGCATCTTTTACTAATAGGGCTGTGGCCGCGATCACTCGTAAGCACGCCGGCCATCCGGCTGCCACCGGATCTAACTTCTTTGACAGATAGGCCACTGGTCTCTTCCAGGGCCCTAGGGTTTGTGCGAGCACCCCCTTTGCAATGCCCTTTTTTTCATCTATATAGAGGTGGAATTCTTTGGTGGGGTCAGGGAGCGCTAGAGCAGGTGCTTTTAGCATGGCCGTTTTTAGGACTTGGAAGGCATTTGCCATTGTCTCAGTCCATTCCCATGTTTGCCCTGTTTTGCATTTTTCATATAAAGGGCGGGCCTTTTCCGCGAACC